ATATAGTTATACGATTTATCTATAGTTGCAATATTTATTCAAAATTTTACATTAATTAAATTGTTTTATACATTGACAAAATTAATATAAATAACAAAAGACAGTGTAATAATTTGAAGAGGTGACGCATCCATTACTAAAGACAGCAAACTTTCACGACTCTGGTCACATTTTTCATTTAATTTCATTTAATTTTTGTTTAGTTTCTTGGTAGGCATATTCATCATCATATTCATAACACTATCTTTGGCTTCCAGAAATTTCTGTTGTATGCATTGACGGAGTACAAAGCGCAAAGTTTGTGAGCTAACGTTGACTTGTTGATACTTTTGGACAAATGTTATCATCATCGTTGCTGTGAAGGAATATCGGATTTTCCTTGTACGTCGCTGGAAATGCCTTAGCTACGAAAGGAATAAATAATAAGTTCTTTTAACTTACATTGTTATTGTTATAATTACCAATGGTGTGGGGAATAGCTTTTTTTTCTAAATGTTCGTTATTGAATAATAGTATCTGTCTTTCCATTGGAACTTTGGTCTGCATATTTTAAGGAACGTTATTACCGTGATATTCAGGAATTCTTCTAACTCGTAGTTTGTTGCAAAACTACAATATTTACAATCGTCGACTGAGTTTAACTAGTTTCCAAACCGGAGGATTATGTAGGAACTGCCCTAAAGAAAGTTCATCCAAAGTATATACAACCATTGCCTGCCTGTATAAACAATTTATGACTAAGAACCAATTGTTGCTGATTCGAAGGAAAATTAAAAATCTGCTGAGTATATTGAAGTGAACTAAAACAAAGAATCATAGCTTACTTAAGAACGAAAAGCAGGCGCAGAACGAATAAATATTAATACTGTTGAAATGCCACCAAGAAAGTTTACGACGATCTGGGAAAACGCTTCCCGTTCCTGTGGTGAAGACAAAAGATTTCATAAAAATTTACTTTTGAACTGCGGCGTTCAAGTTGATCGAGGAAGATGTGAAATCTTTGAAGATCCCAAATTAGAAGACAAGCCATAACATTCTTCCTTTATGCTTGAAAGCTCGTTTATTTAGTTAATTGCTCGCCATAATCCTTCCTTTATGCTTGAAAAGCTGCTTATTTAATTAGCTGGCATGAATGGAATGTCTATCTTGCACATTCGGGAAAAACTTTTATTTTTCTTGATCGTACGGCACACCTAATGGTGCCATTAACCAACAAAAACCTACACTTAAGGATATATATGGGAATTTAAGCTTTGCTAGTGGCTAACGATTACGAATCAATGTTTTCAATATTTTCTCTGAATAATTCAAAAGACCAAGAATTACTTGGTAATAATCTTGCCTCACGGGTAGGTTTGGCATGCTGCTTTGGATGTCTTTCTTATAATTCAAATACGTTTATTATTCCGTATGTGGGTTGCTTCCTTATGTACTGATTAAATACAAAATGGTGGTAACAATATTGTAAAAGAATACTTTCAATAAAATACAAAACTAAAACTAGATTGCTTTTCTGACAATCCCCTCGTCAATGAACGCACATTTTTAAGTAATAATCAAGAGAAGACAAAGTTGAACTCAACTACATAGAGATAACTATATGCCCAGTCTCTTTCAAGTTTTCATTGGAGGTCCATACTTGGAAACATTAACATTTATAATTATTTTTTAATATTTTCCATGTGAACAAATTCTAACTTGATATAAAGGCCCTATGAGTATTGAAACGCTATCGTTTACATGGAATTTGTGTGTTCATAAGTCCAGTGCACACCACAGTCACTAAGGCTAATCTACTTACACTTAGTTGCAGGTCGTAGATATAAGAACTTTAAACGCGGATTAGCATTTATGCTTTCATAACTTTGCAATATGTTGGATATAAACCTTATATATTTCAATATCTTTTTAGAACTCTAAAACTATCTTATACGTTGTTAGTGGTCTCGCACTCTTCCTAGGTAATTTTTCCTTAATGATAATATAAATAAACTAACAATTTATTTTTTTTTAATTCTCCCACGTTTTTTAAAGTAAAATAAGACAAACATGTGCATTTTAAAATTTTCGGAAAATTACCAGATATATTCCTTTAACAATGCAAATATTTAAAATGGAGTGGGTTTTATGCTTCAACAATAAAAAATACTTACATCCATAACTAGTACTAATTACAAATATTTTTCTTAGTGCAAGTGTTACAAAAGAAGTGAATTTCATTACCATCGAACGAGGCGATCAATATTTTTTGCATTCAACAATTTAAAAAGAAAATATCTTTCAATGCGTTAGGTATTACGAGGAATTAAACATGTGTCGAGTTTATGTATAAAAATGCCGTCGTTACACTTAATTGTTGTACAACATATGTGAAAAGCTTCGATTGACCAGTGATAAGGACCAGTGTTAACTACGGACAGTCTGGACTGACTGTATATGTCATCGTTTTTATTATAATTTGAATTATCTTTGAAATCTATCTTTTATCTTTGCTGTTATATATTCGCCGCAAACGTCAATTTCCTGAGATCTCGGAAGCAAGCCGAAAACTTTCCACGACATAATTGTTACCAAAGACGGTCTCCTTAATGCTATCGTTTATTGTCGCGAATACGAATTTAGTGGGGCAAGATAAGATATTTCCATCAGTCTCAGAGTTGATAACAAAGTAAACAACTTAATGATTCCTGTAAATTTTCCACAATCAAGTTTTTTTCACTTGCCACAATTAATAAATCGCAGAAGTAGTGGGCTAACTCTACTAAACAGAGTCAAGCGCCACAAGTGGCGTTATGTAGACCTTTACTTCTGCTGCAGGCTCACTTTCTGTGTCATCTAGGCACAACAACTACTTGCGACCCTTGCCTTAAAGAATACCGATATAGTAAACCATTGAAAGAGGGCTCTAAAAGCGTGCGATTTTTCTGATTTGCTCTCTCATGCCAGAAACTTGAAATATTTTGAGAGATTATAGTATAACTTTTTGGTTTCTGGTTCTTCATTATGAAAACATTTACCGAATAATTCCAAAAGGTCAAGGGACCGAATAATTTTTTCAAGAAATCTCATCTCATTTCTAATTCTTCGTGCAAGAACTACCTGTCGACACTTAGCAATGCAATTGCTAGTCTTACTTTACGGGACGAACAGTATGTAACATGTAATGGGCTGCTATTTCGCTATCCTTAAGTCCCCCTCAATGATGTATATTAATTTCGGCTGTCTGCATTCAACTGAGACATATTTTTGTACCCAACGCCGAAGGATTAGGGATAGAAGAAAGCAACGCAATGTACATTCCTGCTCAGCATCAAATTGTAATTCGATTTAAGTGTGTCCGTCCGTGTAACATCTGTTGTAAACATTCTCCTGACCAGAAAAGCTATCGACCAAAAATTTCATAGGAGCTTTGGAAATTCTTGCACGCAGGTTCTTATTGAAAATGGGCCAAATCGGTCCAGCACTGCGTAAACTGATCACACCTCCGCCTTTCAAAAGGAATGAAAAATTGGTTTTTTGCTCAATGTTCATAAACTATACCAAATAAACGTACAATTATTTGAACGCATAATTTAAAGTCGATAGCTTCATTTTTTGCGGCCAGGAGAATGTTTACAACAGGCATTACACAGAGGGACAGACGCACAGACACACAAATGTATATGCTTAAATCGATTTAGAATTTGAGCTTACCAAGAATACGTATACTTTGTTGGATCTCTGATGCTTCCGTTGCAAACGTTTTGGAAAAGTTGACATACCCCTCATTCTTCGGTGTGGAGTATAAAAACAGCTAATGTAAACAGGAAATTATAAAGTTTATAAACAAAGTTATAATAAAAATCTCCTATAAACAATAATCTAAAATAAAAAGGAAATTTATAAGAAGGAAACTTGTAAGCATGAGTTGTATAGTTGTATTGGGGTATACGCTATAAAAATAAAATAATCATCAATATAATGATTTAAATATCGCAGGCAGAAAGTATGTGCTGAGCTGATTGCTGAGACGCGGCACTCATCGCAAAGCTCTCACAAACTACGACAAGGGAACGACTTTTTAAACATTCGAATTATTAGGTTGACGGTCCTTTTAAAAATAGATTTTTTATTCCCACAAATTCAATCTTGTGGAAAAGAAGATTCGATGTCGATGGAGGAGATTGTTATGTTTTCGTGACGTCTGATGGTAGAATAAAAATTGGTGATAAGATATTAAGCATTAAAATCAATAATTAATAGAACAATGAACCCAGAAAGAACATGTGTGGATGCGTGGAAAGTTATTTTTTCTAGACAAAAAACTATTGAGTTAGGACAATCTACGACTTGATTTCGGGAAATAAAACTTCCCAATCTTTTCTCTAGATGTTTTGTAATTAAAAAAAATCATATTATACTGTTACGAATTGCGCTTTTCTAAGGTAGGACTTGTATCACTAGATAGTGGACATTCTTTTCAAGAGAAATACACTTCAAAGTTCTTTTATTTACAATTATATTTCTTTGAACGTAGGATTATTCACAATTTATTTTTGGCAATACTCTATTTATATACATTTTTACAAGCATTTCACGGCTTCAACTGCTATCGCGAGTATTTTGTCTATTTATAGAGGTTAACTTCATCACGCGTAACAATTTCTTATTCTCATCTAGCCAAATGACGAACGCGGCGAAAGCTTTTTAAAAATTATCTCGTCCTATTCGAAACTATTAACGCATATACTACTTGGATATATAAGGCTTTGAACTTCCTTAGTTGTCTGCAACTTGTCTGTTAAGTTGTAACTCTTTCTTGAATATTGTTGAGCTCATCGCGTTTCTATTATTTTCTCAATTTTTTCGTACGCCAATTTCGCCTCTTCCGTCAAATTCTTTGCTTTGCTGCCAAATCTAATCTTATCGTGTCTAAATTAAAAACATATATATTTGTTATTTTGTGGTTGAATAATTTTTGTCAAATAAACTGCAACTTGATTAAGATAAACAAATGCTTTTTCTGTAGTTGCAATTAAATTAAATTAAAGATGTAGCAGGTACGGTTACCCTACAGTTGGGCTTCGCATTGTTTAGTTGTTCTCAAAGGGCTGGTTGCATTAAAAATGAATCTTTGCAGACAAACCAATGTTTCAAAATAAATTTTTTTATCTTGCTTTAATCTGAGTGAATAGTTAATTTTTTTACGATGAAAATGCGTTATAGCAGCAATTTTGTAGTCTTTTTTGGATGCTTAAATTTGAAGAATTGGACTCAAGTACGAATTGTGACCCAAATAAATCAACGCTGACATCTCAAGTCAATATTGTCTAAAATTTTGTGTTGTGCCTGATATTGTCTAAATATTCACTGTGCTAAAAAAATCAAGTATTATAGTTAATAAAAATTTTGGCAAAAGGTGATTTTGTAAATGAAAGTTAAGAATGAATTTAAGATAATGTCATGTTTGATTTTACAGTTGCAACATTTTCTCGGTTAATCGGATTCGGAGAATTGAAGAATTTACTAAAATTGTCTAGCTTGCCAGTTGGTTGCCTTTATTATGAATGAGGAGTATTATAATCAACTATCGGGTGCTGAGTTACGCGATAAATTACGAAAACACGGTTTATCAAATCTACCCATACATCTGGCGAAATTTGCTCCTTAAAAAGCTTAAAAATCATTTGTTAAATGAGTCACTTGAAATGACGCCGGCGCCGCTCCTGCCGTCACCAGCCACGTCAATCATCAATATTAACAATGATGGTGATAAAGAAAGGCGAACTCCTTCACCACAACCAACGTCTTCGCCAATTTCTCATAGAAGTGACCGGCAATTTAAGAACGGGTTAGAGTCGCCATGCGATTATAAGTTACTTGAGGCAAAAATATCAAAGCCGCGTTATCAAAGACATTGTCAAGGAATTAATGTATCGAGCTTCACTAAACGATTAGTCGGGAGGCGAAGTAATTGCATATCACGTGCGCGACAAATTGATACCGAAGAACGCTTGAGGAAAAAACAATGGCAGAGTTCTGCATTTGATAATCTTAATAATAATTTTGAACCGCCTTTGGATTAGCCATACCATCCCGGTTAGCCAACCAGAACTACCTTTCATCGCGATTTAAAAGCTTCAGGCATTGCACTGACATGGCAGGAGCGATCTACCATGCACTCACTAACTGCTACTTTTACGTATTTTTAGAATTACCTTCGATCTGGAATTTCGCTATTTTTTCAAAGTGTTAACAACTGTTTACAACTGTTTAAGACTGTTTAATAAGATTTTATCTGCTTAATTAGCCTTGTTTGGCCTCTTAGATTTTTCCTGTCACCCTTTCTTAAGTTCCTTTCTCATATTTGAAAAGATTAGACTTCTCTTAAAATTTCCCTAGTTTTAGCCAGCATATTCATATATATAGAGAATCCTGTTAAAGCGTACAGTTTAACGCTGGATAGTTAGACCAGAGCACTACAACTAAAGACTAAAAACAATGAATAGAATTTTAAAATCGCAAAAATCTGTATATAAATAAATAAATATGAAAGAAAGAAGGAACATTATCTAATACATTGACGAATCTTTGTGCGCTCGTGCGAAATGAAATATTAAAAATGTGTAAATATAAATGTATGTAAGCGCACCATGCTAAGGGGCTTTTAGTTGAAAATGTTATGACAGTAGCGTTTGGTAGGCAATCAAAGGGAGTGAAAGGCAATTTTTCTATAAACTTGCACAATCGTATTTTCAAGCGTTTTTGAAAAGAGAAACTAAAGTCGATTTATTTTTAGGAATTATTTTTGAAAGAGTAGAACATATTCTTTAGAAATTTGTAATGTTATATAACTTGTTATTCCCGTACACCACTTGTGTGAAAGAGTTCATCAATTTTGTCCGGAAATGTACAACACCCAGAAGTTCTTTAAACCAAATTTAGATTTGGTGCAACTTTTTTGGTGTAAGTTTAGATTTGGTGCAAAAATTAAAAAATTAAATTAATTAAAGTTGTCTACACTTATTTGAAGTAGTTAAAATAGTTCTTCGATTTTTTCTTAAAATTTTTAAGTTTATATTTTATCCAAATAAAAAAAATTTTCGAATAATTTGAATATAAATCACTATAATTCTGAAAATTAGATCGAACGAAAAACAATATAAGTTCAAATATAATGTTATCTTTTTTATGTAGTAGCTTTAAAGGCTATAATTTAATTAAAAAATCCTAACAAAGTACTTTCACATACCGAAATCCATATTTCTAAAAGCCTCCTAGAATCATGCAACATATATATACTTTCATATATCTACAGTAGAAGCATACAATACACGTATATATATGCTTTCGTATATCTAAAGTATATAAAACAACCGAAAATATTTTATAAAGAAAATTTTTAACAATTAATTAACAAGTAATATTGAACAATCAACAAATTTATATAGTTTTCTATAAGTGTTGATATATTTACTCACACACATTTTACATATATAAATATAAAAGGTACATAGTAAAACATACAAATGTAATTTTCTCAACTTTTTTCTTTCTTTATAATATAATCATATAACCTTAACTTCAGCTTATTATATTAATGGAAATTGTGTCCTTATGATTATAGAGCACATATTATGCACTTTAAATTAGTTTACACTTTATAATTGTTTAATTATTTACATATATGTACACAGGGAGGGAATATTTAATGCGAATACAATAAAGAAATGTGATTTTAAAACAATATATTATTGTTAAGCTTTTGATCCTTTTTAACGCTGTTATAAATTTTACAATTGCATAATGCTTTGGGCGTAATTCCATTAATTTATGTTTTCTTTCTAGTACTTTTATTCATATTGTCCGTGATGTCATTTACATACTTGATATCGGTTTTTTTTAATGAACGTAGCTAAAAAAATTTAGATAATTATTTTTAAAAGTTTAAGCTATTTTGCAGTTTTTCATGCTTAAGTTTGCAGTTTTTTCTTGCACTGTGTGCCGTTTACGTTTCTTCAAATACCAAACAAAGTGGGAGTGTATTTGTTTAGTTTTAATACTTTCTATGAGGCTTGGGAAGTATTTCAAATTTTTGGTAATAAATGTAAGTTTGACGAATGACTTTAAAGAATACTTTCATATATCGTAACTTGCCCTAATTTCAGGTGCGTCATTCAACTTCGCCGACTTGTTTGTGAAAAGACAAAATTACAGTTTGCAGTGAGCCTGAAGCGTCATCTTGTCGCCATCTAATTAGCTATTGTCCTCAACCCAATATACATATGCCATACATGACCTGCAAACAACATTTAATTTTTTTTGCAAAGGTAAGTCTGCATTCAATATAAGATAAACTATTTACCACATTTACGGTTTGTGGTTTGGTTTACAACAGCTTAGAGGTCTAACGCATCGTGAGGCCGCAATTTTAACGAATAAATTACTTCAACAACTGAACCTTTCAAAAAAAGCTCATAATTATGGTAAAAATCTGTCAGGAGGCATGAAAAGACGTTTATCGTTGGGCATTGCTATGGCAGGCGATACAAAGTACGTATATTAAGTCAATCCTTTGCTCTAATCTATCTCAACATATCTAATGAATGCACTTAAAGAGGAATTGCTTTCAACTTTTATTTATAAGCCAAGAAAATACTGCAAAATAAGTTTTGCCAAAGTCTTCCTTAAACTGCAGCATAACATTCAAAAATTTCAAAGCGATATCAATTAAATTTGCGTTGCTCTTTTTTGTTCGTGAGAGTTATTGTACTTGATAAACCTTCATCCCATCTTGACATAGAATCCAGATGCGAGTTATGGGATGTACTTCTCGAGTTACGTAAAACAAAAGCTATAATGATGTGATGATGAAAACTATATATATATATATGTATGTATTATATAATATATATACACAATGATACCGGTATAATAATGTCGATCGATTCAGTCACTTTTTGAACCGATCTAATTTTGTTTGCCCGTCTATCCATCAGTCCGGCTTGTTTTTTTCTTTTGAACGTACACGCCGCACCTTTCGAAACATTTTGATGAAATTTTGTACACCAACATTTTTTGGTTCAAGGACGAACGGTATTGAAAATGCGATCACTTCCGATCACTTCCTAAGGTCTTATTTGGAAAAACCGGGCAGGGCGTTTCCGTGCGCCTACAGTGTTTTTAGCTGCTTAACAATAAAATTAGCGAAAGTTGGAGGACTTTTAATCTAAAAGAACTTTTAATTTTAAAATCGTAACAAGCTTACCTTAAGAGCTTTGGATAATTTTTTCGACGGCGCAATCCTTTTTTAATTTCTTGTTGTTACAGTTTTTAAATGCTTTTGATTCCAAATCTTTTTTTTTATCATGCTTAAGAATTAAACTTTAAGACTTGTTCTTGTAACGGCAATAATATTGACAAAACCTAACATAATCAATGTATTTCTACTTTAAATGTTTCCACGCATGTTTCTGCAACAAGTTTGCATACGACGTTTACTTCTTTTTGTTTAAGAGTGCGTTCCATACGGCGGTTGACGATGCGGAGACAAATGCTTGTGCGATTCCTTTTTTGGATGATTAAATTGGTCAACTAAAAATGATCTGAAAGAAACATATAACAATAATTATGAAACGCAAAATTTATGAAAATTCTTATCTTACCTCTTCTACCACATCGCTCACAACACTTCGCACTAGGTCATAAAGTCGTTGGGTGCAGAACCCCCGTTAACCTGAATGCCAGGTGGCAACCAAAATGACGGATCATTTATGCATTGAGGATATTGAGACACCGCTTTATATTTCGTTAAATTGTATGAATGCTTTTCATTAAACTGAGTCAGAAATCCCGTATCTTTGCGCCAAAGCGAGTGTCAGGTATATCGAAGAGGCGGCTGCTATTTTGTAAATTTTGCAACTGTGGTGTATGTATTTTTTAGTAATATAATGTGATTATGAATAAAAATTAAAAAAAGGATATGAAAAATACGCTAAACTCTTATTACTAAATTCAGAGATGCGGAACCGGTTTGTCAAAGTCCGGAGAGCAATCGTCGGTAAGAAGTATAATGCTACAGGTGCTCCAATACGTCCAGACGACAAGCTTCCTCTAACTACTCAAAATACTCAAGGAGAGAATCGTACTTGTCTCTCTTCCGAAAAACTGCTTTCCCAGTTTTTTGCTAAAGCACACTAAACTTTAGGCTGCAATTTTCAAAATGGATTTTTAATGATGATCTACATACTTTAGATCTTAAGAATAAGGATTTGTCTTTTTCTCTTCTTTTACGCTGTGAGTAAAATGGTAAAAATATAAAAAATGTATATGCAAGTAAAATAAATTGAGATAATCATCATTTCCATCGGTTAGTCATCATTAATCATGTGTCGGGAATATTTTCATGGTTTAGTGAAAATTGAACTCAATGCAATTCAATTAGTTTTAACAAAGCCATTTCAGAAGTAACTAAAGAAGTTCTAAGTAGTGAATAATTACACAAAAAATTTAAAAAAAATAATTAAAAAGGTTAAAAATTAGAAGAAGAAATTTGTGAAACATTTACGTAAAACTGAAATTAGAAAAAACCCAAAAAATTATAAAGTTATAAATTCTATTTTATTTAATAATAAATGTTTTGTAAGTTAAACAACAAAAGAGTAACTTGAAGGAAAATAAGAGCATTGTTTAGTGTATTAAAACCTTCCTTAATTTTAGCAAAATTAAGTGTATTAAAACCTTCCTTAATTTTAGCAAAATTAAGTGTATTAAAACCTTCCTTAATTTTAACAAAGTTAAGTGTATTAAAACCTTCCTTAATTTTAACAAGGTTAAGTTCTAGTTTCAACACTTTATTGACGGTAAGTGCATTTATTTCGTATATTTACAATTTTATATATTTCATATATTGAGAGGGAGACACATCTGAGATTCACATAATTTCCCTGGGAATCTCTTTGGTGTATCCAGTTGCTAGCAAGTTCGAATAATTTCATACCCGTTATATTCATATTGGCCCGTTATATTCATATATTCATGTTTGCTCCCAATTAATTATTATTCGCCATTGCTTTTCAGGGTCTTTGTGTTTTTTTTTTTTTTGTGGATAAGGCACGCAGATTGTATGCAAGAACAATGGAAACGAACGATCAAATGCTAAAAATGCATGAAAATATACTATACGTGCAAATGAGTTAATTGTAAAATAAATATAATTCATTCAATATATATATCAATATCATATATGAACAAGAAAATATGTGATCATTATTTTATATATTATTTATGATACCTCATTTGTGTGCCTATTATTTTGATGTAAAATAGAAAACAAATAAATCCACATAAATAAAATCTGCTATCGTGATTTAAAATATAAATAAATAAATAAAATTATAAAATATAAATAAATAAAATTATTCCATTTTTTGTGACGTCATTATTTTTATATTTTTTTATATTTTTTGGGCAACAGGATATATATATACATATATATGTACGTGAATTTGTAAATACGTAAAAATGGATATACGGCAGACTTTTCAAATCATAAAGTTATTGGGACTTTATATTTAATTTTTGGCTCTTGATCTGGGATAATCCATTTGTATGTATTGGTCATTTGCGGCATAATAAACTAACTGCGCGAGTACAAAGTGGCTGCATGTTAGGCCAGAAATATATTGAACGACCTAATGTAAAGGTAGTGTTGTGTGCTAGGTTCATTTTGAGCTGATGTCATATAGAGGAAACCCCGAAATTCCTACGATCTGAACACACTTTAAAGATTAACTAATTTCAAAAGAACGAGAAGAGAAACAACGGTCTAAACAGTTGAACATGCACTAATTGGTCGTAAACTGTTAATGCAAAAGAAAAGGGAAGAACTCACGCAATGAGAGAGTTTTGGAGATGATGGGAAACAAAGACAACGTGAACAAGTAACAAACACTTTGATCACGAAAAAAAAAATGTTCACATAATCGTGAAGCTAAGCTTATACCAACGGAAATTTTGAAAGATTTCGACAGTAGAAATCTAAATTACCATCAATAGAACAAATTACGTCGCTTACTAACAAAGACCGTTATTAAACATAATTTTGCAAATTTCACACAAACCGTTAATGACATAAATATCAAAAACAACAGAAAAAAAAAAAAGAAAATTAAAAGAAGAGTGTAGAAATGGGTTAGTTTCACATGCCCAAATGGCTTGCTTCAATATGAATTTTCAAAATGATGTGGTGCATTACACCTGCTGCTCATGCGCAAGCAGAAAAACATTAAACAGAAGTTTTACAAAACAAGAAAGTTATATATATTTTTTGAAAATCCATAATATTGAAATATTTGTTGTAATAACATGGAATTGTAGGCGCTAGAAGACGAGGAACTACTAACGGCAAAATTGCGGACACTATTGAGTAAGTTCGAGTAGTTAGCAGCCGCCGACAAAAAATTAGCAATGCTTTTTACGTTGTTACGTGTTTTCCGCGTAATTTTGAAGTGGCCTCCGATATACTACTCTCTGAGCTGTGAACTACAAGTATTGCTCGCGTCAATTTCGCTTTCATCAATACGAATTATGCCGGTTTTTAACTTGGTTTTAAGTTTCTTGGCAGTTTGTTTTTCTATTGCGGCAGATTTTTTTCCTTTGTTAGCAGAATTCTCATACATCGCAGGCTTGCTAACCAAAGGTATTGGAACGGTTAGAGCTCCGTTATTTAATAAATGTTGTTGCTGCTGTAAAGACGCTTCCGGATTGGGCTGAAAGTGCTGTAATTGTTGGATTTATCTTTTCCTTTAAAATCTTCGCTCTTTACTGTGGACGTGTTTACAGTGGATGATGGAGATTTTTATTTGTGATTTTGAAAACTGGTCTCTTCAAAGGAAGAATCACTTGAAGACGAACTTGATGAAGATGTCCAACTTCTACCTTCAACTTTAATTTGTGGCTACTCTCTCTCTATGTTTAACAACAAAATCAAATTTACAGTTTTTATATTTGCATTGCACTATCAAGTGTAGGTATATTCGTTGTATCTAACGAATCGACGTCCTTCTTTCGTTCTTTTTTTGTGGGAACAAAGAAACAAGAGCAGCGTCTTTTTGCTTAATTTTAGTCGATTGCTCGTTCCTTCTTGTAGTATCACTAGAGTGCATGCTCTCCTGGCTGAAGAATGTATTATTTTGGGGTACATTGTTATTATAATGCCAATTCATTTGATGACCTCGTTCTCCATCCCGGTGTTGTATATCCACAAATTATCCTTAACTCTAGTGTAATAGACCGCTATTCAACTACAGTATATAAACGTCGACTACGGTGGGGTGACCGTCCTCATTAAGGAGGGAATCCCTTTTAGGCAAATTCCATACAAGTCTTCTGCAGACATAGTCAGTGTCAAAACTATATAGCATCCTATTATTTCAAACCAAATATCCCTACCCAGATCTGTTGCGATGAAATGCGTAATTTCCTCGCACGCTTTCAATATGTATTTCTTGCTGGAGATTTCAACTCGAGACATTCTCAGTTTGGTGACAGAGTCTCTAATAATAGTGGCAAGACTCTTTTCGAAATCACGAATTTTAGCACCTTTATTTGTCTCAACGAAACAATGCCAACCTTTCTTCTTTCTAATGATAGTTCCCCTGCTGGTAGTGCTTCTCCAACTCAGATAGGATAGCTTTTCAATGGAATATCAGAAAAGACCTTCATCTGGGAGGTAGTCCTCATATTCCGACTGTTTTTAAGAATAATATCAATTCCTCTCTAAGGATCGGTGGATCCATATCTTACAAAAAGTAGTTAAATCGTTTAACCTATTTTAATATTGAGTCAACTCCCAACAGCCTTCGCCAAGAAATTCGAGCAGCCGAACCAACCTCCAGATTACCAATACCTTTTCTCCAAATCCATGGTGGAATGCTTCATTTTCTGTGATTCTCCACAGAGTGCAGGTCTCCAAGCAAAATTGGAAAGGTATATAAACTCCCCAAACTTTTAAAACATTAAAGAAATAGAAAACGAATGGAAGATAGCGGTAAGGAAAGCGAAAAGGAAACATCGGCCCTAGTAATTCAAAGGATTTGTACTAACGGTAATTCAAGATAATTTTGGAAATTTTTACTTCAGACGATTAGAATGTACAAGTACCCAACATAGAATGATGCAAATAACATACTCTGTCCCGACTTGCTTAAAAGTTGTGTGCCTATTGGTGATATCATAGCCCATCGCCCTCCAGCCTTCTTGCGGGCTGCTTGTCTCCTCTATTGAAAGATGAACCTTTGCACGTCGTTCAATTGAAGAGAGAGTCTTCTGCTGCTAGCTGGGATGGTATCAAATACGAAATGCTAAAGGTTCTTTAAGCTCCGTGTCTGTCTATGTTAGCTTTTGCACAATTCCAAATGACTGGCAAAGAATTAAGATTGTACCTGTTTCCAAGATCTTGGTGATCTTCCGAAGCCCAGACCTATCCCGACCTGCTTTTTTAAAGATCACAAATATCATGGCTGAGGAAAGATTTATGAAGTTTCTGAACACCCGAAATCTCATTCTTGCTCGAAAGTTCTTGCCACGAACATCTACGAACATGTGCATAAATGAAGTTGCTTCCTCAAAAAACGAATATTAAGGAAATCTTTAGACAGAGTTAGATCTGAGTAAACTTGCAAA